CTTGCTACCACTCCTAATCCATATTTGTCCATTCCTATTGAGAATGCAGCATCCGTGTTAATCCTTATCACTCCCTTACCGGGTGGTCTCCAAGTTGCTGACTTTGAGTTTCCTATTTGTTCAATGTACGCCCCTCCTCCACTATTCTGGGCATCCATGAATGCTACCCACTCTCTCTATACTTTTTGTACAATGAGTCTAGCATCTACCTCCTTATCCAAGAATAGGACTGTCAATGGGACTGGGCCAGGCCAGCCCGAGCTCGGCTCGTTTGGCCCGACAAAAATCCCGATGAGCCCAACCTTTTAGTGAGTCGATCTGACTTTGAACCTAAAAATTAGGCCCGAATTAAATATGAGCCGAGCTTGGGTCTTAGTAGGCTCAAACCCGATATAGGCCCGACCCTTTAATTACCTATATATATATATATATAATATTTATATTTTGATATTATGTATAATTATATATCCAAATATATTATTATTAAATACTAAATATATATAAATTACAAAATACAAAAATACATCTAAAGACTTTTTCATGAGCTTTCTTCAGATCCAATATTAGTAATGCATAACTGAATCTCTAACTTTTCTTATTGGTTGAATAAATTTTTGTGTTGGCATAATATTGGTTGATTTATTTTTAATCTACAAACACAAATCATCAAGCATGTTTGGATACAAATCACAAGATTATAAAAAAGTTTCAACTTTTAAAGATGTATTGGCTTATGATCGCATGTTTTATTACTATTTTTCATGCATTTTGAACTAATTAAATATAAATATTGTTGAAAATTTTTTGGTTTATATACTTTTTAAGAACTATTATTTGTTCATATTTAGTTTTAATATTATAGTCTTGTAAATGTTAAATTAGTTTTACAACTTAATAGTTATAGTAATTGTATTAACAAAATTAAGGAGTAATAAGTGAGTTTGAGCTAAACCCGATTAAGGCTCATAACCCGAATATTATGTGCGCTAAGTATGAGCTTCACAATTATGAACCCGAAACTCATAGCCCGAAACCCGAAAATGTTCCAAATTAAATGAGCTGAGTTTGAGCTTATGAAAACCCAACTCATTAGGCCCGATTGACAGGCCTATCCAAGAATATCTTCCTATTTCTTGCTTTCCAAATCTGCCACATAATATTTACAATTAAAGCAATGTATTCCTGTCCCTTATCCCTCTGTTTTGCATCTAATATCTCTTTCCACCATCTGACAAAATTATTTCTCATGTCATTTAACTCATCCCAAGTTATTGGGGCAATTCTCCACGTGAGCTCAACTTCTTACAAAGGAATAGTATATGTTCCACTGTTTCCTCCTTTTATCCACAACAATCGCAAAATCCATCTCGCTTCCCTGATTTTTTGTGTATCTGTTCATTTACTAGTAAGCTATTTAACAAGCATCTCCATACAAAATACCTAAGTTTGTGCTTCATCTGCAATGACCACAGGCTTTTCCACCTTCTAGATCTCTGCTAAAGGTAGTTAGTACCCTCCCTGTCTTCCAATTCACCCTTCTATCCAGTTCCTTCCCTTTCTGTTGCATATGTAGATTTGACAGTGAATTGTCTAGAAGTTGTATACTTCCAATGCATTATATCCCTTCCCCCTATCAAGCTTAGTGGGATGGCTAGAATCTTCTGCACATCTTCTTCTTCAAACCACTTTTTTACCAGCTCCTAATTCCATTCCCCTTCCTGTATTAGTTCCTCCATATTCTCTATATTGCACTCTTTCTATCTTACTGTTTTGATCTTTCCTTCCTCATCACTTGGGATCCACTTGTCTATCCACACTTGCATAGTTCTCCTATCCCCCACTCTATGTCTTGTCCCTTTGTCTAGCAATTGCTTTCCTCCCATTAAGCTTTTCCACACCCAAGAAGCTGCTTTGGGAGGCTCTTTATTCCAACTTTGCCTCCCCCAAGGTACCTTGACTTCAAAACTTTATTGACTAGTAGGTTTGGATGAGTGATAATTCTTCAAAGTTGCTTTGCCAATAGAGCTTTGTTAAAACATTCCAAGTCTCCAAATCCCAGTCCCCCTCTGCCTTTAACTTGGGTCATTTTAGTCCAGCTAATCCAGTGTATTTTCTTTGCATTTTCCTCCTTTTCCTACCAAAAGCTTGCTACCATCCTGCATATGTCTTTCCATAGATTCTTTGGGAGCATGAAGCATGACATGGTATATGTTGGGAGTGCCATGAAAACTGAGTTAATCATCACCTCTTTTCCAGTATGATTGAGCAGGTTCCTCTTCCAGTTCTGCATTTTGTTTTGTAGGCTATTCTTAATGTATCCGAACACTTGCTGTTTAGATCTTCCTATCATCATTGGTAGGCCTAGGTATTTTCCACTCCATGCTTTTGTCATATTTCCTAGTGCTGAGCAGATTTCCTTTCTTAGGTTCTTGCAAGTGTTAGCACTAAAAATATAGCAGATAAATTTATAATCTATCCAGACGTTTTTTCATAAGTGGCCAGCATGTCTTTCATTTGTCTTGCTTCCCTTGTACTAGCCTTACAACAGAACAAAGAATCATTAGCAAAAAGAAGATAAGACACCACAGGGCATCCCCTCCCAACTCTTACTCCTATAATTAATCTGTTGTTCAAATTCTGCTTCATTAGGTTTGATATTCCTTTAGCACATATAAAGAAGAGATAAGGGGAAAGAGGGTCCCCTTATCTTAGACCTCTGGAAGGCTTGACATAGCCAGTTTTTTGCCCATTTATATTAGAGGACTAAGCGGCAATAGATACACAGCTTATGATCCATCTAATTCAAATAGGACAAAAACTCATTTTCATCATTATTCTCCCTAAGAACTGTCATTCCACCCTATCATATGCTTTTGACATGTCAAGGTTAAGGACCATAAAACCACTCTTGCCTTTTCTCTAATTTTTCATGAAATGGATTATCTCTTGGGCTAAGATGACATTATCAAGAATTTGTCTACCAGGAACAAAGGCTAATTGGGCATAGTTAATATACTTGGGAATGACTTTCTTTAACCAATTAGCCAAAACCTTAGCAACTATCCTATATAAAATATTACAAAGAGAAATAGGTCTGTACTGGGACATATTAATAGGAGCTTCCACTTTTGGGATAAGGGTTACTATAGTTTCATTGATAGATTTAAGGAAGTGGCTACTATGCAGGAAACTTTTGATAGCAATCACAATATCCTTTTTGATTACATGCCATAATTTTTGGAAAAAATAAGAGGTCATACCATCTGGTCTAGGAGCTTTATTAGGGTGCATTGAAAATAAAGCATTTTTCACCTCCATCTCTTCAACTGGTTTGATTAGCATTGTATTCATTTCATTTGTGATTGTGCGAGGAACACCTTTAGTGACAGCTTCAAATTCTATTAGTTGAGAAGATGTAAAAAGTTTTTTGTAGAATCCACAGATTTCATTCTCAACATCCTGCTCTGATTCACACCATTTCCCTTCCTCATTCTCTAAGGATGTTATCCTATTTCTTCTCCTTTTTGTCATCACCCTTGCATGGAAGTACGTTGTGTTTTTTGTTACCCTCTTGAAGCTATCTGCATCTAGCCTTTTGCGCCTAAAAGGATTCCTCTTCCTTGTATGCCTATCCCAATTCCAGTTTCAGTTCCTCAATTCTCCCTTTGTTCTAGTTATAGTCAGCTTTCTTTCCTTCGTGAATTTGCAGTTTCAATTGCTTAATCTCTCTTCCTGAATTCATTCTGGTTTTTTTCCTGCCATTTCATTAAGCTCCACCTGCATTCCTTAATTTTCCTTGTTAGCCTGAACATTAAAGAACCTTACTACTGTACTGACCATGCTTTTGATATCAGATTTTGAGCTACAGCATTTTGTCCCCATCTTTTATTAAAATAGAATCTTTCTCCAGTCTTCTTTTCCTTTGTACCTGTATCAATCAAGAGTAAGCAGTGGTCAAAGGCCTCCTTTTCAATATGCATACATTTTGCCCTTTCAAAAGCTTGGTGCCAGTTTATGTTTACTACTACTCTATCTAGCCTTCGCTTAATTTCCTGTCCTTCCCAGTGAACCATCCAAGTCCAAGGCTTTCCTTCATAACCTAAGTCAATTGCATCCATGCTACTTAGAAGGTTTCTAAAATCCTGGAAACTTTCCATTGATCTTACTCTTCCCCTCATTTCTCCTCATTTGAGGTAATATCATTAAAATCTCCAACCATCATCCATTTTCCTCCCATCCACTGACTTTGCTTTCCAGTTCCTTCCACTGCATCCTCCTAGTTGCATCTTCTGGACTTGCATATATACCAATAAAGCACCACTCACATCTTGCTCCTGTATCCAATATGTGTGCAGCTATGTAGAAGTTAGTTGCCTCAATGTCTAGTATCCTAACATAATTTTTCCAAAATAAAGCCAATCCACCAGATTTTCTAGTAGAATTAACTATGAAACTATCATCAAATTGTGGTTTCTTTTTGACAATTTCCATGAATTTTTTTTGGTTTTTTGATTCACTCAAAAAGCCAATGCTAGGAAAGTGGAGGTATGATACCTCCTTTAGTTTGGGAACTGTCAAGGGGCTCCCTGCTCCTCAATAATTTCACATCGCAACCTTCATTGACACAATGGAAGCCTTTCTGGGATTGCCTTCATTATGAATGACAATTGGGACGAGTACCCGCAGGGGGCTAATAGGGCGGGGGTAGGGCAGGACGGGGGTAGGGGTACACACCCCGCCCCGCCACTCGTTAAAATATAAAAATATATATAATATTTAATGTAATTAGTTATAAACATATTATTAGTTATAAATATTATTATTTATTAATTAGTTATACTAAATTTACTAATACTAATTAGTTATACTAATTATTCCAATTACTAATTAGTTTAGCTACTATTCCAATTACTAACTAGTACACAGTGACTATTGACTTTTGACTAACCATAAATTTCACATTTCACATCTCACAATTCACAGGCTCGCAATTTCCTAACTTCCTCAAAAAACAACCAACCAAATAGGCACTCTGGTTCTACCTCCCTACTTCCTCTGGCAAACAAACAGCCTCAATCTAAAACAGCGAGAGGATAATTTTTTAGTGATCCCTACTTCCTCTGGCACTCTTCCTCTATCTCTAAACGGCCAGCCAAAGCTGACAAACCCCCAACATATTTTGATTCATTTGTTCCTCTCTTTCAATTGAACTATTGAAGCAGCAAAGCTATCGAAGCAATTTCCACACGGTCCAGTAGCGTCCGTCATAGTACCCCGGTGACCTGTGGTATTCAAGGTACAAAAATCCAGTCATAATTTTTTTGTGTGGGTATCTGTGTGTGTTTTGCGGAATGGGGTCATAAGTAAGCTTATGATTTTTGTATTGTTTAAAAGCTTTTAAAGATTAAAAACAAACTTGAAATAAAAAAGTGAAGTTATGAACTAGCAATTAATTTTAGGTACTTATAAATCGTATTTAAGGTGGAGGTGACAAGTGACAATTTAATACTCCTAATATATGTATTTAATTAATTAAAGCAGCATACTAACAACCGCAATTTTGTGATTTAAGATACTTGGTCTTTGAATGTGTTTAAGAGGTTATTTCCTTTTACAATTTTTTGGTTTATGTATCCATATTAAGGTGGAGATTCCTGGAATATAACAGCCTTAAGAAAAGTAGGCTATAGCTTTTAACATGTAGCCTATAGCTTTTTCTTTTTTATTGAAAAAAATGCAGCCTATATTTAAATAACATTTATTATTATTATTTTTTCCTTTTTTTTTTGTTTATAATAACACGGTTTGATATAAATTGATACTAAAGAAAATAGCTTTTATACAGATATTTTATTGTTCTTTCAAATTATGAATATGTGCATTGCACAAAGTCAAAGTGCTAGTAATAATATATGGAAAACGAGTTAATAAATTGGCCAAAACATGCTTACTTTTCTCCAAGTTTCATTAATTAGCATATAAAGCATAGGGGTGCAAACGAATCGAGCCGCTCGCGAGCGGCTCGCGAGCGGCTCGATTCGAGCTGGACTCGAGCTCGAGTCGAGCTCGAGCTGGTCGAGCCAGAGTCGAGCTCGAGCTCGAGCTCAAAACATTAAGCTCGTTAGCTCGCGAGCCGGCTCGCGAGCTCGAATATATATATATTTATTTTTTTTATTTTTATTTTTAATAGTAAAATTACATAAATATCCTTAATATTTTATTATTTATTAAGAAAAAATATTATTTTATTTATTTTTTTAAAAATAAAATAATTATTTTTTATTTTTTTCGAGCTCGAGCTCGAAAATTACCAGCTCGTCGAGCTCGAATTCGAGTTCGAGTTCGATGAAATTAAGTTAAGGCTCAACTCGATAAGGCCAAAGCTCGACTCGGCTCGTTTGCACCCCTAATAAAGTATATAACATGTTTGATTATTAGCGCTTTACCTTAAGTTTAATTCTCTGTCAAATTTTCATGTGTTTTTCACAAGCAAGTTTATAAGTCCTACACCAATAATTACATAATTTGTAAGCATTCATTGTGTTTTGATCAAAAGTTCCTCTACATAAAATTTTGGCAGATGATTATCCTCATATTCGAGTTGTTTGGCCATTTTGGCAAAATTGCTAGTAGCTTATACATATATACATGTTAGTAATACTTGCTAGTTACTACTACTAGCAATAAGTATACATGTTAGTAATACTTGCTAATTACTACTACTAGCAATAAGTATACATGTTAGTAATAAGTACTACTACTAGTATACATGTTAGTAATAGGTATTTAATTGGTAGTACTAGTGATTTAATATATGATGTAGCAGTATTTTTCCTTGAGAAGAAATTAGCGAATTGGTTTGGAGGAGGGAGGGTTTATTTTTTTATTGCTTGTCTAGTGAAATGAGCATATCTTACATATTTTTGTCTGGAGAAGTAAGTGTATCTCACTATGCTTGCCGGTATCCTATCAATTGTTGAAATAAATGTGATAGGAGATTTCTTTTTTTCTTTTTCTTAACAAGTAAAACATTTAGAAAGGTTAGCTTCCATCACATATTCATGACTCTTAACACTTACTAGTATCATTAAAATAGGAGCATGAAAGCTGCAAATGTTATAACATAAATCTATCAAAGTAAACAATTAGACCATCTCTTAGAGTCACTAAATAACCTGTATGCCATTGCTTTAAATGTTTACCTTTTCACAATGATTGGTAGAATATTTTTCTAGTTTGACGAAATTTACTTCATGCTTGCTATCCATATATAGGGTTCATGTAAAATTAGTGTTGATCAATCATATTTATCTATTTTGTAGAAGTTTCACTATGGTGAATCGACCAGAAAATCAGTCCAAACAAGGAGATAATTCTCCAACTCCATAATCAATCACTGTGGAGCCAATTGATGCAGAACATCAATCAGAACACACTCAAGAAGAAGAATATGAAGTTGTGGGAGGTAAAAGGAAATTGAAATCAAAAGTGTGGACTCATTTGTTAGAGAAATAGGTGATGATGGTGTTGATTTGGGTGTATGTAAGTATTGTAAAAAAAAAAAAAGCTACAAAACAGATAGTACTCATGGGACAAGTAACTTGCATGATCATCTTAAAAGGTGTGCCAAAAGGCCTAATCAAGTCATTAGACAAATGTTACTCCGGGATACTAGTAAAAAAGATGATGGCAAACAAGAATTGCATAATCATATTTTTGATCAACAACTGTCACGCAATGAGCTTCCAATAGCAATTATATTGCACGAATATCCATTGTCTATTGTTAATCATATTGGTTTTTGAAGATTTGTTAACAGTTTGCAGTCATGTTTTAAAGTGATTTCAAGAAATATTATCAAAGGGGACATTATGAAGATCTATGAATCATAGAAATTGAAAATTTGTGATTTCTCGGAGAAGTTCAAAAGCAAGGTGGCAATTACAACTGATATGTGGACTTCTAACAATACTAAGAAAGGTTTCATGTCCATTACTACACATTACATTAATGACTCTTGGATTTTACAGTCTCAAATTTCGAGGTATGTTTTTCAAAATTTTAAGACTTAAATTATGTTAATTGATAATGTACATAAGTAAATTATGTCTTTACTTTTTTTTTTTTCTATTCGTTAGGTTTGTTTATGTTCCTGCCCCTCATACCAAATATGTGTTGAGTGATATATTGCTATCTTCTTTGATGGATTGGAATGTTGATCGTAAGATATTTACAAATATTTTAGACAATTGTTCCACCAATGATGCTATGATCACTTGTTTATTGTATAAGTTGCATGTGAGTGATTTAATGATAGATGGTTTGGTGCTTCAAATGCATTGTGTTGCTCATATTCTAAATTTGATTGTAAAAGATGGGTTAGATATGATATAAATGCTATTGAGAGAGTTTGTGATAGTGTTGTGTATTGGACTGCTTCTGCTGTTAGAATTGAAAATTTTGAAGAAGCTGCTCGTCAATTGCGTATTTCTTGTACTAAAAAATTGTGCTTAGACTATAAAACCCGTTGGAATTCAACCTTCTTGATGTTGCAAACAGATTTAATTTATAAAGATGTATTTTCACGGGTTAAAGTGCGTGAGAAACACTACACTTGTTTGCCAAGTGATGAGGATTGGATAGTTTGCAATGATATTTGTGTGAAGTTGAAATTGTTCTATCAAGTAAGTGAAATATTTTCTGGCACTCGATATCGTATATATAATGAATTTTTTGCAAAAGGTTGTGATGTCAAGGTATCATTGGCTCAATGAATAAAGAGTTCTAATTGTTTAATAAGAGTGATGGTTGAAAAGATGATGTCAAAATATCAAAAGTATTAGGAAGATTGTAATGTGACACTTGGCATTGCTACGGTTTTAGATCCGAAATATAAAATGAAATTGATTGAGTATTTATTTTCCTATCATTTATGGTATTGAATCTTCCATGAAAATTGAAAAAATTCGTCAAAATTACTATTCTTTGTTGCTTGAATATCAAGTTCAATCTAGTAAACATATTGTCAGGAGTTCCATTAGGAATGAGCATGTTCTGGGGAGTTCCAATTTGAATGAGGTTAAAATAGATCCCCTTGTTGATTTTGATCAATTTGTGGCTTCCAATTCATTAGATGTTACTTCTAAGTCGAAATTAGATTTTTATTTGGAAGAAAATTACCAAGAGTTCCAACTTTTGACATTCTTGATTGGTGGAAAACACATGGGGTTAAGTATCCTAATTTGCAAAAGATGACTAAATATATTCTAGCTATTCCTGTCTCAATTGTGGCATTGGAATATGCATTTAGCACTTATGAAAGATTAATTAGTCCTCATTGATGTAGATTTTATCATAATACCTTGGAAGCATTGATGTGTGCTCGCACTTGGTTATGAAATGAAGTCAATGGTAAATATAAGTTTTAAATTTTAATCTTGAAATAGTATAATTTCTGTAGCATTTTTTATTTCTTAATTATGTGACTACTTGTTTATCTTTTGGCAGTTACTTGCTCTACTTTAGAAGGGAGTTCATATTCCACTTCGTTTGATGAAGAAGATGATATTGATTGTGTTACAGAATAAGTTCACAAATTTGATGATGTTGCTTTACTTCACATGTTCATGATGATGTTTGTCATTCTTAATTTTGCTTTCTTATTTGTCATTATTAACTTTTCTTTCTTGTTTGATGATGTTTCAAATTATTTATTTGCAGATTTACAAAGGAAATGGCAAAGGTATCGTGACATGTGAAGGAGGAAATTGAAGACTTGATGACTAATTACATGTTTTAATAAAATGATTATTAAAATTCAAAAGTGAAAATTTGATTGTTTTAGTTGTATTTACCTCATTCTGTTGAATTGTATTCAAATAACTTTTATTTTATTATTTTTATGAGATTTAATTGTGAAATTACAATGAATAGTGCTTTAGTTATGTGTTAATATTTTTAGTACTTAATTTTTGACTAAAATATGATCACAATACAATTATAGGAGACATTTTTATTTGCTCCCGCAGGGGGCAAAGCGGGACGGGGGTTAGTTGTGGACAACGAGGTGGGGGCGAGGGACCATTAACATTCCTAGCTTCCGTCACCTTTTGCTACATATCTAGTTGCTATTCCACCTTCATCATTTTGTTTCCTTTATGTTCCATTAGCATTTCATCAGGTTCATCTCTTTACTTGAACTTTCTTTTTTCTCCCAACTTCTCTTTCCCATTGGTGAGTTGATTTCAGCTAAATGAGTTCTCATGCTTCTTGAGATTATTTTAAGGCCCCTGGTCTTTTTTCCTGGTACAGTATTCTCATTTGTTGACCCGCCTTTCCTTTCCCGTTTATCTTAACTTATACATTGTTTTTGGTTCCTACAACTCTTATGTATTGTTTTTTACTGTCACCCACATTTTACTCATCTTTACTATCTACCACCATTTCTTCTATATTTGCCCTTCCCTATTCCTTTTCCCCCTCAATCATAAAGGTGTCCTGTGTTTTTGGCATCATCTCTTCCTTTTTTTCGGTCCTTTCCACCTCTTTTTTTCATTTCTTCCCTTTTTCCTATTCCTTCTCTCGTTTCCCTTGCTTCTATCCATTTTTCCAATTTGTTTTCGTCTTGTTTTTTCCAACTCCCCTCTCTGTTCAAGCTTCTGTATGTTGCCTACTGTGCCTATTTCCTACCTCCCAGGTAATTTATCTTTGGATATGCCTCTTGTGTTAGCAACTTCAGTTGATTTTGTCCCTTACTAACCTTCTCAGTTGCTTCATTTTTTTTCCCTTTGTGTTTCCATAGGCGAAGCCATGATGTTCCCTACTTTGAACCGAGCTCCATACTACCCATTTCTAAGTGTTGTTCCTGTTTTTTCTTCAGAATTACATGTCTTGTCCCCATATCCAATTATACCACATTTATAGTAGAAATCTAGGCATTTTTCATACTTGAACTCAGCCCAGACTTTGACACCATTATGTTTCATTGGTATTTCCCTCATGCGAGGTTGGACATGTCCACTTCTGCTCACGTGTTTTCCTTCTTTTCCACCCCCTGATGGTATTATTGCCTCTTTTACCGAGTTGAATATTTCACCAATTTTGAACCCCATTGCACCGCACATCCAGTGGATTGGAAGATGCCACATTTGCATCCATAACATGGAGGAGTTGAACATCTCTTGATTTGTTTCAATTCCTTCCCTCCATGGCTTTAAGACTAGAAGTTGATTATCCAAAAGCCACATTTTGCCCTTAATGCCTTATCCCTATCCTGTTCCTTCTCAAAGTTGAACTGGAAAACATTTGGCCCCAGTTTAGTTACCTTCATATTTCTTGGGTATCCCCACACATGGTTGGTAAAAATCTTCACCCGTATGTAATTTGTCACTTTATCTTCTATGATTCTCCCCACCAAACTGAGTCTACATTCTTCCAAGTTCGCTGCCACATCTCCCCAATTCAAATTTACTCTTTCAGTCTCTCTTGCCCCCATTAGAGGGCCATTGAGGTGTTCCCTTCACAATCTTCAAATATCTGATGAAGGTAGATATGAATCCAACCTATTAAAGAAAACGTGAAAAATGCCCAAAATCAAACACCCCACAAGCACCTGTGTGGTTAAAGACAAGATACAGTTCTAACAAAAACAGGGCACAAAGGTTAGCTAAGGCATAGTTATTGGTTCAAACAAAAAACTAAAATGTGCTAAAGAAGGAAGAAAAGCGAAATAAAAAGAGATTTAAGGCAAGAATAGTGTTATTTCCCGCAGCTTACACTTCCATGTTTTCCAACTGCTATTCCTCAATTTCTGCATTGAAGATGAGAGAGGAAGAGGCTACCAGACACATTTACTCTATTGGTATAGTTGATTAGTTCGCACTTCCTTGCCACAGGATTTTGGGTTTGCTTTCTGGGGAACTATTGTTTTGAATGTTCAAGTTTTGATGAAAACTGGCTTTTGGGATTTGAAATTTGAAATGTTGCTAAAATTCAGACACATTTTTTTGCTCCTACACCGAGGAGAAAGTTCTTAACTAGAGAGAGATGCTCTCAATTAGAGGAGAGAGAGTAGTTTCACATTAGATTTAGCTATTTGAAACATGTACATATTTGGCCTGGAGTGATTCATCTCATGTGGAAAGATTTTTTGTGAAACTTTATAGTTCTATTTTTGTTTAATATTTCATACATATGTTGTATCTAGTGATTTTCAGATTTATTTGTATTCATTGCATGTTTAATTATTTTTAATCATAAATGCATATTTATGGCAATCAAATTACTTTGCTTATATAAAAAGAAAATCTCAAATTTGGTGATTTATTAGTTGATGCCTATGCATTCATTTAATGGAAAATGAGAAAAGTATTGTGTTTTTTTTGTTGGCACAAAACGAACCAGTGATATACTTAATGAGTTCATTAATTAGTTTTTTTTTTAATTTTTATAAAGCAAAAGGGTATGTAAAAACCATTATTGAGCAGTGGATGTTTCTTGTATCCATATGCCGCGCCCCATTTTTTCCAAATAAAAGATGAAAGTGAAATCGTGTTAGAAAAATGAGTTTTTGATAAAGAAAAAGGGGTTAAAATGGGACATAGAAAGTGTGATAGTTTGGGCCCAAAATTTAGTCTAAAATGGGTTTTTAAAAAAATAGAGTTACCATTTGGTATTGAGTTTAAGTGTATCAAGTCACCCAAAATATATTTTTAAATGAAAACAAATAAAACCCTTTTAGATGACTTTATATCTTAAAAAATGAGAGAAAAAAGTTCGGGAGTCACGGTTGAAAAAAGAGAAGGCAAAATTTGATCTAAGGCACCCTTTCAATTTTACCGAAGCTAGTTGCGAGATTTAGTAAAAAATTTTCCTAATCTAATCTATAAACTTATCATATTTGGACGCTTTTATATGGATGCAAATTTAGACCTAGGAGAGTATCAAAAGGAGCGAATTGTCTTTTCAAAATTTAATTGGTACCAATCAAATTAATTATAATGTCCAAGAATGATCTTTTGAAGAAGTCATGAATATGCAAAAAATGATACTTGTAGACACCAAATTTTGGTGTAATTTCATTTACTATTTATTTTTTTAGTTTGTGCTCGTTTTATTCACTTTTTAGTTTTTAGTTTTTTAGTTTTTTGTGTTATTATTATTATTTTTAAGTTTTTAGCATAGAATTTCTCGAAAAGAAAAGAAAAGCATTCAAAAAAATATGTTTTAATTGTTTTGATTTAAATGCAATGTTTTCTTGGAAAAAATGAAAAAAAGAGAAAAAAGAAAAATCATAAAAAAAGAGAAAAAAGGAAAATCATAAAAAAAGGAAAAAAAGAAGAAAAATTGTTCACAAAAATACGTTCAAATTCAATCTTTGGGCACTTTAGTTATTTTTTTAAGTTATTTTGAGAAAAGAAAAGAAAAAGGTGGAAAAATGAAGAAAATTTGAAAAATGGACATTTTTGTTCAGTTTTTTTGTTTAAAATTATTTTTGTTTTTTTATTATCTGGTTTTTGTCAATTTGTTATTATTATTATTTATATTTTATCATTTCTGTATTTATTAAGTTGAAAGTTTAAAAAAAAAAAAAAAAAAAATTTTGTTGCCGCAGCATCAAAGCTGCGGACTTGCGCCATTTGCAAAAAATCTTGTGCGGCTCCTTAAGCTGCAAATATGTGGGAATGTTTAAGGGTTTAGGAGGATGTTTTCTGGTATAAAAAGAAGGAGATCAAGCAGCCGCAAAGAGAGGGAGGTTACGGGGGACGGCAAAAGGAAAGAAAAAAGAACGGCGGAGAAATTGGAAAAGAGAGGTGAGGAAGAAGAGGTTTCAGCCGTGAGGTTTTGGGTCTGATGCCGGCTAGTTTCTTTACACAAAAAGCAACAAAGAAAAATAAAAAGGGGGGGCGGAAATCAGAGAGAGAAAAGAGAGAGGACGGTTGAAAATTGGGATCGGCTAGAAAACTACGCTAAAGAAGTCGTGGGTTTGAGAGGAAAAAAGGAAGATTGCTGGGGTTTTGGTTTACGGGTGAGGAAAGGCTTTGGGCCGAGCGGGAAGCCAGGAGAATCAGGAGTTTGTCTCAGTCGGCAGAGCAAGGAGAGCCACTGGAATTGCCAACCTTCACGCCACCAGCAGTTGCGGATCTCCATCAAGAAAGCACGAGCACTGTAAGTTGTTTTTCTTCTTGAAATTCCAGTATTTCTTCAAAGACATGGATATCTTTCGGAGCATGTGTTTCAGGGCATCTTTCCAGTACTGTTTTGTTCTTTGCTCCTACGCCCTTTTTGCCTCATGTTCTACGAGATTTTGGGTTTTTGATTGTGAGTGAAAAATTAAGTCTTGTGGCTGTGCGTGAGTTGCGTTTTGGTTCCTTGTGGATGTTTGAATCCTAGTTGCTATGTTGAGAATTGAAAACAATACTTGTTGATATCATGGTTTGAGCTTAGAGTGCCTTGGGCTGACATTTAAGTGTAGAGTAATTTTTGTTTTAACAATCTTGTAGTTTTCGGGTTCATCATAGCAACTTAGATGAAACACAATCTTTTCGGTTGTCAAAAATTTTCCAGAATGGTTTAAGCTACCTCTTGGGTTTTGCTTGTTGCTCCCTGGTATCTTATGTATATGTTTGCCGTCCTTTCGAGTCCGTTAAGTGGTAACAAGTAGCTGGATGGTAACAAGTAGCTGAAACCTGTGGCAGCCATGATTTTCTTTCTTTTCTTTGTTGGTTCGAGTTTTGGTTTTACATCTTATGTTATCTTTGGTGTTCGGTTGATATCGATATTTTGTTGGGCTGGGATTTTAACTATGTTTGGGGTGAAAAATTGTGTTTTGAATGAATACCACAATTGAA